CGACCTGCACGTCGACCATTGCTTGCGTTGTATATGGCCAACTTGGCCACCGAATCTATATGGAATATGGCTGAGGTGCGCGGTTATGTGCGTTCGATACCACAAGGACAGACTTTAATATTCGGCGTTAGCATATCAGCGCTATTGTATTTGTATCGATTGGGTCTGCATAAGACCACCTGCAAGGATTCGCTCTTCAATGTCTTGCGGTTTTTTGTGGATAAAAGAGAAGAGGGTCCGGTAGTAGCGAAGGCGGGCGAGGGTGCAGCGACGGCGACGGCGACAGAAGCGTCCGTGAGTGCTGCATCAACGTCCTCATCTGCCAATACTCAACGCTCTCGCGCCCCACTTGACTTTCGGAGTATAAATGTACTCGTCCAGATCTATAGTCGTTTCTTGGATGCGGTGAAGAGTAGGCATCCCTCTTGCCCGCATCGTGATAATTGTTGGCATTATGCGCTAATGGGTGGTCTCAGACCCTTTGTTGGCGGTATTGGTTTGCAGTTGGCGTTGAGGCTGATCATGAATTTCAAGAAAATAATGCAATTCAAGTTGGACGTGCGTAAGACTATATTCAATAAGGACACACTAAATTTGGGCATATTCCTGGGTTGCTTTTCCTTCTTATATAAGGTGGGTGGAGCATAAATATGTATCATAAAGAGAGGAAAAAATGTTATATTAGCCGTGTTTTCTTTACACGTATGTATGTACATATGTATATACATATTATATGTATGTATATCTACGCTTAACTTCAGCTATTCAGAACAACAACTATTTTAAAGGCAGTGTCACACGATTGGGCATTTGCCCAAAATTTGGTGCAAATCGTATTCAAATAGATTGGAAATTAACAAATTAACGATAATCTTAAATTTTTATATGAGAATTGAAGTCGGTTTTTATTTTTTGTTTAAAAATTACTTTTTTCTTGGATTTGCTAATACAAATTTTCTAATTTTATATTCTAACATTAGCGGTACTCACTTTCCGTAGCATTTTAGGTGTAAAGTTGCTACGTAGCAATCTAGCACGCATTTTGTTGTTGGAAGAGCAACAAAACATGTGGTAGATTGCTACGTAGCAACTTTACACCTAAAATGCTACTCAACGTGAGCTCCCCTATTGTATTTGCAGAGGCAGCCACTTGAATAGCGCCCTCTTTTGCTGCTCAGTATTGACAGTTTTCCTTTTGTTTATTTAATAAATACTAAATTTTTTACAAAAATATATCATATTCTCTAACAAAAACTATTTGTTTAATTTCGATTTTAAAGCTTTATACAAAACTTTATGATAATAAAAAAAAATTTTATCAAAATTTTAAACTTAAATAATTTAGAATTTTTATAAGTATGCAGTTTTACAGCCATTTGAATTTTAGGAAAGTGAAGGAGCTAAAACGTACCATTTATTTCTGATTCGATTTTTATAACGAGAGTGTTACGCATTTTCTTCCAAATAACGCATGAGTAAATTCAATTTTTCACTTTGGTATACTTGAACTTAAACGTGCATAAATCGGCATACTCAAGAAAATTCTAAAATGTTTTTTTTATACGTTTGAAATTTTTATGAAGATTTATTGTTACATTGTTATATTTTTATACAAAATTAATGAAAATTTGAAACGGGCTATAAAAGTGCATACCCAGAAAACTCAAAGAACATTTAAAAGTTTGAAATGTTCATTCAAATTTTTTCATAAATTATAAATGGGTAGGTTCAGAAGGTGCAGAAGTTGAGCGCCACCGTTGCTAAAAAATTAAATGATCGTAATGCGTCTTCTGAACGGCTTGATACATTAAAAACACACAACACGTTGGTTGTCTCAAATGATCAGAAAAATTTTACGATCATCTAACACGCAACTGTTCAGTTGATCAGAAGTACAAAACAACGCGTTCAGAAGGTGCAATCGCAACAGTTACTGAGCTGTTGCGCCTTCTGAACGTGCCCAATGTAAAGTTTGAAAATTGGATTTTTTTTTATAGATCCGTATACATGCTCAAAAAAAAAAAAACAAAAATGTTTAAAAGAAATATCTAATTTTTTTAGGTTTGAAATTTTTATACAAAATTTATGAAAATAAATAAACTTAAAAAAATTTAAGTTCGAGTTAAATTTCCGTTAAAATTTTTTCAAAAATTATAAATTTTGAATGAAGTTTGAAAATCGGATTTACATGGACGGATGTTATATAATGTGCTATAATTTTATAAAAAATTATTGAATATTAAATAAACAAAAAGGAAACGTCAATCAAATCAAAAAGGAAAACGTCAATACTAAGCATCAAAAGAGGGCGCTATTCAAGTGGCCGGCACTGAATTTGTATAATTTTTGATATAGTTGTTATTGTTATTATTTTCGTTTATGTAATTGTAAACTTTGGAATTCTAACCTCTAGGGCGTTTCCTGCACGCTGCGGCACAGTTTTGGACGCGATGATCCGCGCTTTGCGATACCAGCTGGTCTGCTCGCCAGCACAGCTTTCACAAAATATCCCGACGTGACAGTGGCGCTCTATGTTATGTGGAAAGCACTACAGGTAAGTTAATTACATATTGAAACATATGTATGTACGTATGTAGGTTTCTGGATAAACAAATAGTTTACTGAAAAAAATCCATAAGCCTTTCTGCTTTCCATATAACTTTGCTTTATATTTTGACTGACCCAACAATAATAAGATATCAGCTGAATCAAATGTTTTAAACTTTTGCTATTTATTTTCGTTTTGTCTATTTACTGGAATAATAGGTAGATAGATAGATATTAATATGAGGTGTGCACTGCACTGCGGTATAGTGTGCGCTTGTCTCTTCAAAACAATCATGTTATGCTCAAGGCCAAGGTGTAATTGTGTATCTTGGGCCGAGTCACAGAAGTGGCAGAGAACACTGGACCAGATGAACAATTTGTGTGTCCTGCCACAAAGCATCTGACGATTTTTAAATGTTCCTTTGGCAGATTTGTTACAAGCTTAAATCTTTTTAAGTTGTATCCCGCACGTAAGCACTTTGGCTGGCGTAAAACCCTTTTGACAATCGCCAGTGCTTTTCTCTCATTGTTCTATTTACTCCTCTGAGCTCTTCTGTGATTGTATTTGAATCTGTTATCATGTAGAGCTCGCACACATTTGTGATTGTGGCCCATTGTTGTAGTTCCTACTCAGATTTATCTCCGCACACTCACTGATGGCGTAGGCTTCTGTCCCATTGGCACAGATATCCCAGCCCGAGGGCCATTACTCCTGTGATGCAATCACATGCCAGACGTTGAAGCTTTTTGAGCGACTGTTCTTCCAGTAAAGCCGGGTAGGTGGTATTCTCTATTTGCTATTTACTCGATGCAGAGATACCTAGAATTGACTTCATCATAAGCATAAGCGAAAAATTGCATTTTATCCTTCCTGCCAAGGCGTAAGTATTAGAGAGGGTACCTTTCGAGGTGCATCGAATGCCATTTCGGCTGCTCCAACTATGCATATCCTAGATAATGTTCAAAAGAATAGCTCGGCTTTCGGGGATTTGAGTCCAATTAATCAGTACTTGGAGTCTCGCAGTTATACTACCATCCGATTATTATTCGATTATTTGTTTAATTTTTCTAAAACATAATTTTGTTTTGCATCGATTTTTATTAATTTCGTTTTACTTTTATCTCGCTTTTTTATTACATTATTTATTTTTATTGTTATTTTATTCATTTTTACCTTTATGCATCTACGTGGTACTCCTTTGAAACGCATTAAATTCCTTTTATTTACTTTTCTTATAGATCTGCTACAATTTGGGCATCAAAGAAGGGGTTTTGCCCCACGTATCGAATTTTACGATATTCTTATACGCTTTCTGTACGGCTATAGAGTTTCATGCAGGCATTCTTGAGCCAAAAACGGTACGACCGAGCTACATCAAATTTCTCCAAGGAATGTCAGGAGATAGGTGAGTGAAATTTTTATTTTTTTTTTAAACACTATATTATTAAAATAAAATAAAAAATATTTCAGTTAAATTAAACCAAAGTCCTTTAATTAGTAACAGTTCATTGATCTGAATATAAATAGTTCACTAGGCTTAAGAAACGTAAACGAACTTTATTTAAAAAATAATTGTAGTTCAAATATTATAGTGATAAGGAAAATAATTTTTTTCAAAAGGGTATGCAGTGAAACCTTGATATAACGAACCTTGATAAAACGAAAAACTCTATATAAAAGACATTTTTGCTGAGTCCCTTGAAAAACACCTCGTTGTTGTGAAATTTTCCCTAAAAAATGCTTCATAGATAAACACAGAATATTATTAAGTTATTCACTGTTGGTCATTAGGATAGCGCACCCCTTTGTTGGTTTCAATTGTATAAAATTTGTGTAAAATTTTTTAATTGGATTTACATGGTTCTTGTTATAGAATATTTTTGTTTGCATTTTTAATACAAATATGTTTAATCTAATTAAATTTTTAAGTACTATTTCCTTCTGTCTTGATAAATTTTTTTCTTTTTCTAATTTAATTTTGTGTTATTTATTAATTTTTATTATTTTAAAACGAAAAATATATATGTTTTTTATTTAATTTACTTAAAAGAAAAAAACTGGTTGCTAAAAGGCGAACAAAGTGACGCTAAGACCTCCTCGTAGCAGGTCTTTCAATTTGAAGATAATTGCCAGAATTTCCCTGTAAATAAACATTAATGAAACTGTAAATTGTAAGGATCCAAAGAGTGCGCTATTCAAATGACGAGGAATGTATAATGAAGAAATTTTGAACATGAAAACCTTCGGAATATATGGACTCAAAAGCCTCTGCATAGCGAATTCTGAATACGTGGACGGTTAGAGTACCGTTGTAAAACTATACTTCAAAGCAATTTCTTGTTGCATCGAAACTATATAAGTAACGAAACATTTGTTTATTTCGAATTCGATTATTTCGAAGCAAATAAAATACCTGATCGTATATATGTATGTAGGTATTTCGGAATTCTGCCCGCTATGCATAATTGTACCTTTCTGGAACTTTCATATTTAATTTTTTAATTGCAATATAATTTATTATTATTATTATTTTTGTTTTTGTTTTTTTTTTTCAGATTTAATCGATTTAACTTGGAACCCTTCAGCATCTATGGACAAAATGCCAGCGAACAAATGCGAGAAGTTTCCAGAAAACTGAATATTATCAACCAAGCACCGTTGCCTAAATGTTCACTTGCCTCGTGGAAATAATACTAACATACATACATACATATAGCGATGCAATATCTATAATTACATATACAGTGTATAGAGAAAAGCAGACTTAGAAAGGGTTTAGAGAGAGATAATGAAGAAAGCAAAGCCTTTCGCTAAAGTAGCGATTTAGAATGAGAAGAAATGGAAATGAAATACAATTGTGTGATTCACGAGTCATTACAGTCATAAATTTTAAAACGTTAAAAACGATGCTGCATTTGTTATGAATCCTTCAAAAATAAATTTAACGTTTATAAATTTTATGAAAATATCACTAATTACGACACCTTGCGAATCACCAAAATAATTAGTTAGACATCGTCGTAGTAAGGCAACGAAGCAGAAGAGCAAGAAAAATAATGTAATAAGTGTAAAGACATTCTTTAATGAATGATGAAGAAAAGCGTAATCGAGCAGAGAATCAGCTAGAGTTTCAAAAATTTATTAAATGAAAAAAAATATTGATAGCATTATGAATAAAATCAATTTTTTGTATCATGCTACATACTACATATGTGCATATGAATAGACTTACATGCGTAAGTGTTTCTTAGCGTTTTTTATTTTTGTTTTATTATTTTTTACTTGATTTTGTTTGGATGACTTATTAAAGATTAAGTGAAAATCCTAGTATTTGTACATAAATATATATTACGAAAACTTTAATTCTAAAAATTTGGGTGATTTGTTTTTAGACGCAGGTCTTTCAAACTGCAGTGTATTCATTTTTTGGTAGACTTTTATATTTTCCCTTTGTATGGTTAAAAAAGAAAGATGTGGTGGAATTTGTATGCGTAGTAAAATCTTTCTTATTTATATTCTTTCATTAATAATAATAACTATTCTTTATTTACCCGGTATTCTTTATTCTTGCTTATAAAAAAATTAGGAATAGTCGTTGCCTATGATTTAGGTTTATAAAATAAAATAAACACATACACATACATATATGGATATGCATATTTATAAAACTAAGGTTAAGACATAAACTAGCTAATAGCTACGATAAAAAAGATTTTACAGAATTTAATAAATGAAATTTTAAATTACTTTAAAATTTCTATGACCGTCACAAAATAATTCCAGATTTTTGTATTATTTGATAGAGCTGATTTGATTTTACTTGGCAGTACACATGATTCAATTATTAAAGGTTTTGTAAGTAGCTTTTTTCTAAAATT